ATTTTGTGGAGCGCTACCGGACGGAGAGGGTCCGCATGCAAGTACAAGCCCCCTATATACTCACATCCTAATATGTAGGCATGATTTGGAGCGCTACACGACGAAGACGATCATACAAACGCAAGCCCCCCATTACATTTTATCCCAAAATCTGAACGAAAAATCAACCACGCCCTAGGGTGTTCGCGGATGTGCCTGGAAAGCGTCAGGTGTTTGTACCGATCTGCCGTACGCGTGTGCCGCGATCGATTATTTGTCGCGACGCTGTCACCACACACTTTGCGCTACGTACGTCCTGACGTTCCTTCGTTGTTTTTTCGTTTTGTTTTTTCTTGCTCTTGCCTTGTTGTCGTCCGCGCCACCGGGCAACCCCGCTCTGCCCCTCCCGCCCTCCTTGCCCTGTCGCTGTCTTGTGATGCTATTGCTGGTGATGGTGCTGGTGCTGGTGCTGGTGCCGCTCTTGTCGTTTTGGTGATGCTATCGCTGGTGCTGGTGCCGCTCTGGTCCTTTTGGTGATGCTGTCGCTGGTGCTGGTGACGCTCTGGTCCTTTTGGTAATGCTATCGCTGGTGGTGGTGCCGCTCTGGTCCTTTTGGTGCTGCTATCGCTGGTGGTGGTGCCGCTCTGGTCCTTTTGGTGCTGCTATCGCTGGTAATGGTGATGGTGCTGGATGCTTCTTGGTGGTGACGGGTGCCCGCGGCTCCGTTGCTGCCCCGAAACGCCCCCCATGTTCTTCCCGGCGTGACGAAAAAATCTTTCGGGAAAAACGGCCTGTTTGGTGTGGAAACCCCCGACGAACGGGCGGGCTGTTCGATTGATGGGCCCAACCATTGCAACGGCTGACGTGTTCGTCTGCCACTGCTGTGGTTGGGTGGTGTGCGCCTGGCGGTGGATGATGAACCACTCTGCGGATGGATCCAACGAACGAACCTTTGGAACGATGGAATGGGCCAATCGGATCGGTGGGGCGCCGTGCGTCTTCCGTGCGTATCGGCACTTACGGATGATGGACGGATCGGCGCAATGGGAACCGAAACGGGCGGTGGAATTAATCGAACCGCCCGCGAAATATCTGCTGATGGTCGGATCGATATGAACGGACTCGACAACCAACCGACACATGGGAATCGATCGCACTTGTCGGACGAATGGACGGACGCGACGGAACGGAACGGGACGGAACGCGCGTATTCTGGGACGGGTGTTGGCTGCTGCTGGCTCGACTGTCTGATCCGGATCGCTGCTAGGTGATCATGTTGATCGGGAACAAGTCTGACTTGACCAGCCGGAGGGCGGTAACAACCAAGGAGGGCGAGCAGGTACGCTGTCGCCCGCTCGTGTTTTTGTCGCTGTGGTGTTTGGTTTGGTGTGATGGAACGCTGCCTTGTTTTGTTCAGCGGGTTGTCCGCGGCACGGTGTGACAAACGGACCAGCCGGAGGGCGGTAACGCCCAATGAGAGCGAGCTGGTATGCTGTGGCTCGCTCGCGTTTTTGCCGCTGTGGCGTTTGGTTTGCCAGCGGCAACTACTAAAGGACGGCGAGCAGGTACGGTGTTACTTGGTCGTGTTCTTGGGGTTGTGGTGTTTGGTTTGGTGTAGTGGAACAGTGTTTGTTTGACTAGCACTGACGTGTGTTGGATTAGGTTGGTGTGATGGATGGAACGCTGCGGTGTTTTTTGGGTTTTCACATGGTGGGGTTTGTCACTCGTGAAATGTGAGGTTTTGACGATTGACAGCAGGCGAGAGGCTGTAACGGAATGCACTCAATACTAGACCCCGAGAGTGTTGAAACGACGCGGGATAGCCCGCATCTTGGTTCTGCAACTCCCATACCTCCATACCTTGTAGGCCAACTGTGTTGTGCGGGGGCGTGTTCGGTATACTCGATCTATATATGTTCTGCGGGGGGCCTCAGGGCTTTGGGGTATGGGTGAGTGAGAGGCTGCAGGGCCATCCCTGGCGCTTGAGTCTTACGTCCCTCGCTTCTGTTGAGGTTTGTGTTTATGGTTGATGGTTGATGGTGGAAAGGTGGGGAGGATGATACCCGGGAGATGAGATGAGATACGATAAAATGATACCTTAACTACAACTCGAAAAATGTATTTCTACTTGTTGTTTGCTCCTCGGACGACTGAGCGGAGCCCCCCCCCCCCCCCCCCCCCCCCCCCCCCCCCCCCCCCCCCCCCCCCCNCCCCGGTTCGTCCTCCGTGTTTGTTCTTTGTCGTTCTTTGCTCAGTTTGCGGAAGAGAACGGTCTGATTTTCTTAGAGACGAGCGCCAAGATGGCCACGAACGTGGAGACGGCGTTCATCAAGACGGCGGCCAAGATCTACGACAACATCCTCTCCGGCGTCTACGATCCGACAAACGAGGTGCGCTCTCGGAGGAGGTTTGAAGGTGGTCGTGGTTGTTGTTGCCGGTGGTGGTGGCCGTAGTGTCCTATTGGCCTTGTTTTTTGCTTTCGTCTCTTTTGTCTTCATCGCTGGCGTTGGCGTTGTACGGTGTTCTTTTTTCCTGCTGCTGCTGCTGCTTCCGCTGCTACTGCGTTTGCAGTCGCTGTCGCTGTCGCTGTCGCTGTCGCTGTCGCCTTGATTTGTCATTCCCTCCGTGCCCCCCCGCCCGCACACACTTGCGACGATTGCGTGGATGCATTCCCCGACTCCAACGCGTGTTCCGTAAAAATTGGCGAATTCGGGTCCTTGGCGACCCTATCTCAACTGGTCAGGTGTGCGAAGTGCGAAGTGCGAAGGGTCTACGGGATTTCATGTCTGCGGTATTTCATGTGTACGCATGCGCCCACGCACTCTACTGATGAGTGCAATCCCCCCCGCCCCGACCCCTAACTCTCCTTTGTTCGCCCTTCCTTTTGTGGGAACACCCTTTTCCTTTTCCTTTTCCCTCTTTCGAAACCCCAAAGGCTCACGGCATCAAGCTCGGGCCCGCTGCATCGCTCAACTACAACAACGTAGCCCCCCCCGCCGACAAGAGCAGCTGCTGCTGACGGTAGCATCGTTACGGCGTAGCGCCACACCGCGGAGATAGGATGGTGCAGCCATAGGAGGGGGGAGTGCTCTTTCGACGAAGCGACTAGGGGACGGAGAATCCTCTTTGCTGCGTTGAGCGGAGGCGGCGAGAGCCCTCTGCGACGAGGGAGGGGGCTTGGCGGGAAGTGGCAGGGGGGGGGGGTATCCGCAAGGAGTCAGGGTAGACTCGTGGGCCGCATCCATTGTGACAACACTTGTCCCAGCGTGCCGGCGCGGAGATGTTGTTGAGAATGATAAATGAGCGATAGCGTTCGTCCAGTGTTGATGATGTATGATAATGCTTTTTTTTTGCTTGTTGTGGTGAGTCTTGTTTTGCACCAGAATATGTCTTGCCACAATTTGTTTCTACTTGTGTTCTGCGAGAGAAAAAATAAGAGAAACTTTTTTATTTTGGTACGTATTTGTCAACGCTTTTTTTCCCGCCAAGTTTCGGTTCGTATATAGACAGCACTCATGCTCTACCACCACCAAATGTAGCGCCAATGTTTTCTTGGACCTGGAGAGCTTTTTTAACAACAGGTATTGTAGTGCAGGGAGGCAAGATGAGCGGTGGGGTGACGGGGCGAAATATAGCAGACGTCGCAGTTGGGTTGAGTTGGGCAAATTGATCGCAGGGACTACCGACCGGTTGAACAGACCTGCTGTAACGCGGGCTGCGATGAATGCTGACGTTGTCCTCTCCCTAGCCAGGGTTCGCTGCTTCCATGCACTGTACACCATCCGACAGCAGCGGTAGATCACATGAGTAATGCCAGTGCCCCCGCCTACACACATTTGTTGGCACGGAAAGGCTTAGCAAGTTTCCAAGATTGTGTAGTTGGTATGTGTGGATGTGTTTTTATTATTGGCATCTACCGCGTTAACCGGCTGACCAATGAAAAAACGTTAGTCTCGTGCGGGGTTGAAAACCAAAACACTTCTAAATGCCATCAACTGGGACCCCGTGAGGGGGCGGCATGCGTGTGTGTGTTTGCGTGGGGCTGCGCCCCCCTCACCGGCTTGATACGGTCCAGGGTCTCACTTGTTTCACGTCGCGAGCCCTATATCAGCAAGCCCTATCTGCACAACAAGCTGGTTCACGCAAGAAAAGCAAAATTTATTCCCCGCAAATCCTTCGTTCGGTTTTTGGAGATAGGTCACTAAATTTTGCACACTTGTCCGCAAGATTGATACCTAACTTCTCACGAGTGGGTTTTTTTGTTGTGGGTTCTTTAGAGCTCGAAGGTCATTTGGGGTTGAACTACGGCCGAAGAAGGTTCGTGTTGCATTGGTTTTTTTATTTGTTAACTCTCGAACAGCGTGAAGCTGATTGGCTGAGACACTTTTTTTGCGCCTGACCACCGCAGGAAGGTGTTCTCGGAAATTCCAACCATCTAGAAGTATATCACTGCTGTCTTAGGCTAAGCGTGGGGGTCACTATGGTATAAAAAGTGTGTCGAGTGCTTGCATTCATTTTTAGTGGGGGAACAAATTTTGGGTTTCTTGCGTAAACCAGCTTGTATGTCAAGCTCGGACGTTTCAGCAGTGCAGCGCCGGTGATCCCAAAACCCGTTCGTTTGCAAACCGGGATGCTCTGCAACGTGAGAGAGGCCTAACATGAAGGCCAGCATTTGGTGCAGGGACATGAGGAGGATGGGTCCGCTACGCATTGAGCGGGGTGCTGTTGTGTGTATCCCACCTACGCACACCACACCACACCACAGGTTGGGAGAGTGTCATCGGACATTGACCAATCAATCGCACCGGAGTGTTCCGTGTATCCCGGTCCTCTCTCGGTGAAGGGGCGCAGCGCACCGACGTGAAAAGTAGGGTCTACGAACACCCTTGTCCGACAATACGATCAGAGGGACAAGAGAATTTAAAGGGTCCCTCCGGGCAGGCAGACATTAGACTACAGTTGGCGCCCGCAGTTACGAAACGCTAATTTCAGGTCCAGCCTCGAATTCTTATTGTGGGCTAGAGTAGCGGCGGGTATTAAGAACCACTTAAGCCACCCCCCGCGCCAAGAGCTCGTTCTTGGTCAGTTTAACGAGATAGGATGATGTCTAGGTACCGAAGGATAGCTAACATGATCAACTACCTGTCAAAGAAAAAAAAAAAAAAAACGTTATTGGTAACGAGTTAAGGCTGTAGCTATTTTGCCTAAGTTGAAGTTGGAAGTACCACAGAATCCGGTTGGAGGGTATTAAGAACCACTTTTACGAGGTGCTGATTGCGCGGGTTAAAATGCGTTTCAAGAGCCAAGATTTTGCACACAATCGTCCAATACGATGAACACAAAGAAAAACGACGTTTTTTTTTTTTAAAGGCTCCCGGGGATGAATACGAGATATCCCCGGGTTTTCGGCGCAGATGCTTGGGACCGTTTTCCGCCGCCGTTTGCCTGTACGGCGTGATAATCCGTCAAAAACGAATCCAAACAACAGTTTTGAAGCATAGTTGGCTTCATCCTGTCATTTTCTGACCTCGAAAAAAAAAATTATGCCGAAAGGAGTTGTGGTCAAAAAATAATGCTTGTTCAATAATTGGTATACTGGAGTATTTTCGTTGTTTTGCTTGCCGCCATGATACGAATCAGCGCCGTGCACCGACTACTGCTGTATCGCCTGTTCTGGGCTTTTCATACACCCCCAGGACATGAAATTTTGGGGGAACACCCAAATAGGAGTTAGAAGCATTAATCGAAAAAAATAAATAAGTTTGGAGGCCACCCGGGGACGGAATGACGATATCCCCGGGTTTCGGGCAAAACCAGCCGCCGACCCCCCCCCCGTCCCCCCCAACCGTACTGGCACGCTCTCTTGTCACCGTAGCAAGTCTACGAACAACATATCACATTTTATGGCGTGCAAGCCGAATCCGCGTGAAATTTGACGTCATTTGGAGTACAACTCACGACGTTCTCTACGGTTAATACGGGTACATTTTGCCGAATCGGCTTACCGGTAGGGCAAGAATTCACGCCGATCATAACGACAAATCAAGCCAACGTTTTATTTCCACGACCAGCCTTTTGGAGGGAACGTCCAAATATGATTGAGAAACACTCATGCGCAACGAAAAAAAAAATGGAAGACACCCGGGGACAACACCGGGGGACGGAAACCCGACATCCCCGGGTTTCGGGAAAAATCCGCCACCCCCTCCCCCCACGGTACTGGCACGCTCGAAGCCACCGTTGACTACCTTACCGGCAACAAACATTGTGCAATAGGGTACGCATCGACTCCACGTAAAAATTGCAGAAGTTTGGAGCATGATGCGGCTACACGTCAACAATGGGTGTCGGCGTCCGTTGTCGTCCAACCCGGGACACGGAGGGTGCCGGTTGGCGTTCGGGCAAAGCCGTTTCTTCTGCTCCAGCCACTCCTCGTCCCCGGCCAGGTGAGGCCCCTCTTCCACCCCCTCCTCGGCCGCGTCCACCCGCCGCGGCCCCGCGGCCCCTCCCTTGTCCGCTCGCCTCACGCCCCCCCCCTCTCCCGCGCCCCCCTCGCCCCCCTCGCCCCTCTGGCTCCCCTCGCCCGCCGCGCCCCCCTCGCCCCCCTCGCCCCGCTGGCTCTCCTCGCCCCCCTCGCCCTGCTCCCTGCCCGGCATTGACATTGCGCCCTCCCGTCCCCGCCCCCGTTCCCCCGCCCCGCTCGCCCCCCCTCCCTCCTCCCTGCCGCCCTCGCCCGCGTCCTCGACCGCCCGTGTTCGCCTGCCGTGCCAGCTCCGCCGCCGCCCTCTCTGCCCTCTTCCTTTCGCGCTCCCTGGCCCTCTCCGCTTTTGCGTCACTCTCCTCCTTGTCTGCGCGCTCCTTCTCGGCAACCTTTGCCAGGAAGTCTTCCGCGGTGATGTTGCCGCCGTCGGGAAGGCCCAAAGAGCCCCGCGAGGTCGCCATTTTCTTGGCGCGCTTCCTCTGACGGATGACGCTGCCGAGCATCACCGTGCTCACCCTGAGTCCCGTGGTTAGATGTCCAGCCGCCTTCAGCTGCCTCATGCCCCTCTCTCCGATGTCCTGCTCGAGCTGCTCGTTGCCTACAGCGATGGGGACGTCTTTTAGGGGAGGGCGCCCGGTCTGGTTCTCGTTCCTCTTTGCTGTGCCCCGAAGCCGGCTCATCGCTCGCTCCATGTTCACAGGCCACAGGCCCGCCCCGGCGAAGGATGATCTATTTCGCTCCGATGTGAAAGTCGCCCCCCAAGCCGCCGCGATAACGCCGGGGACGTCACGCTTCTGTGGAAGCAACCCGCCGGACACGCGGTAGTAGTCTGACAGCACCTTAGTCACCTCCCTCTTGAAGGCTCCGAAGGCGACGACGTCCAAGGGCTGGGTGATGTGCGACGTGTGGGACGGCAGCTGAAAGAGGACGATGTTGAGTTCCATGGCCAGTTGGATGACCTCGACGCTCACGTGCGATGCGTGTCCATCAAGCAGGAGGATGTGCGGCTTTCCGTCGATCAAGCCTCGTTTGCAAAGCTGCTGGTGGAAGTCTTTAAGGTACTTGATGAACACGTTACCCTGCATGAACGAAGAATCCGTACAAGTGTACCTCGCGTCCGGCGGCCCGTTCTTCTCCGCAAACCAGTCAGGCTGGAGTCGCTGCCCTTTGAAGATGATAGTCGGCGCCCACGTGGAGCCATCAGCGCTGATGGTGGTGACCAAGGTGGTGTTCTCTCGCGAGTTGGCCCGAACCGACTCGACCACCTTCTGCCCTGCCTGACAGTAGGCCTTCATGGTCTTGTTGCCTTGCGGAGTGGTACCTAAATCAATCGCGAGAGAGGAGGAGAACAGGGGGAGAGAAACGTAAAGGCACATACAAGATGCGAAGGTTTACCCACGCACAAAAACCATGCAATGAAGACCGGGTCCTAGAGTAGATACTGCTGTGTACACACCAAAACGCCGCACGCAAGTCCGGCCGACGGCAGAACTCCGCCAGATATTGACATGCTACCTTCGAGATCTTTGCACAGGAGCTCGCCTAATACAGCTCCTGTTGATACCACACTAGTCTAGACTAGTCTACAGGTACATCTCACCTGTCTCATCCGTGTTGTGCACGTGGTCGGCCTCCGGCTTGAGGTCCTCGAGGAGAGCTGCCCACTTCCTGTAGAACTCTACGATGCGAGGTTCGCTCTCATCGGTGACTCTGTTGGCCTCGTAGATGCGAGTGGTGCGCTCCCTAACCCGCGGGTGCCTTTCGAGGAAGCCAGCTAGCCAATCCTTCCCCGGGCCCTTCTCTGGATCCCACGGGGTCTTGCGGTCCAGGCAGAGCAGTCTTACGGTTTCCAGCAGGTGGAGCCGACTCACAGCTAGGCAGTTACGACCAGCGTACAGCAGACAATCTTCAATCGAATTTTCCTCCTCCTCACTCATGACAGTCCCAGGACCTACTTTTGCATCCATGGCCACCTCTCCATCGAGGCGCCGTTTGAGCGAAAGCCGATCAATATCATAGACCTTAGCAGCCTTCCTAACGGACATGCCACCTCTCACGGCTTCACAAGCCTTCTGGGCTTGCTGTGCGTCCACCCTGCGGCGGCCCATGCTTATCAGCAAAATCAGCAGAAGGCCGAAGATCCGCCGCATCGGCCCCTGCGCTGCTGCTGCTGCTGTATCTCGGGGGTGAATGGTCTAATTGCCACGCTGAGGTGCTCAAACGAAAGCTCTTGGCTCTCCGCATTTTTTTGAATCCGACCTCAAGGGGCTCCGTGAATGTAGTGAGAGGTACCCCGATTTGAAAAAAAGTGGTTCTTAATACCCGGGTGGTTCTTAATACCCGCCGCTACTCTATAAACTCAGCGTATGTATGTCGTTCAGTTTCTTATTTCAAGTTTCTTATTATTTCGTGCAGCCAAATCCTGCTGAATTTCCAATTTCTTATTATTTCTCTGCTTGCTTGCATACACAACGTTCCAAATATGCAAATGATTTGCACTGCTTTCCTCGACCCCTGTACTCAACCCCGATTCTCACTACCGACGGCTGCACGTAAGGCCACTCCCTAGAAGCGAAATGTACCCAGCGGCAACGTCTCGCTATCGCTACAAGGCCCTGTACCCCCCTCATGAGTGAGGGCTGAAACTAAACAAATGCATGAACACCGCATGATGCCTCACCCGCACGCTGACGTGCCCAACAACGAAAACTAACCCGTCATTATGATGCAAGCTCCGTGAGGCGAACATCGGGGGTTGTCACCCTTTTGCGCCCCCCGCTCCCTTCCCATCTTTTTGAGACATTTCTTATTGTGTGACCCAGGTTAAGCTATGTTTCTTAACTGCGGGCGCCAACTGTAAATACAACAGAGGTGGGTGGGGGGTGCGATGGAACTAACCTTCTTGTCGGCTTCTCGGTGTCTGCGACGGCAGCCAGTGGTCAGGCTGGACAGGTAAGTCCAACAAACAATCAATCAAAATTATTTGCGCATTTTTTTCCCGCTTGGAGCCCAACGGACTACTACACATGGCGGCCGACAATGACCACATGTGAGGACTACACGACGAGATGAATGTTTCACGTCAGTTTTCCAGATTGTCAAACATGACCATTACCTCTCCGCACACATACATAAAGCATCACGAGGGATGTACGTCAGCTAAGGAGTCATTGAAACCGAAGGCTTTCCACATCGCAGCGATGCAGAAGAGATGGGCTGCTACTATAATACGTGATCTTACCACCTACTAAGCAATGTACCTAAAACACGAGAAGAAGATATATGTATATATATGAGAGGGGTCAAACGGCGAACACAAGCGGATTAAGACAGCGAGGCGTTCTCGCGCGAAGACCCTTCTTTTTTTTTTTACTCTCAAGTGACTTCCTGTAGGCTACCCTTCGACTCGTTCTCAACAAAGCAAAGAGCACCGAAAGCCCGTGCGGTACCAGGCCTGTCCTCCATCGGCCGTTTTGCTTGTATGACGGAGAATAAGAAGGTGGAATTACTTGAAATTAGTATAGAAATAAAGTTTGTGTATCTAAATCGAAAATAAAACGGCCGATGGAGGACAGGCCTAGCGGTACCCTCGATACACATGCAATCTTTTGTTTCTGTCCTCTCGTGGTGGTTGGAAATAGGACGAATAGACGGGCTAATTACACTGCCTTATTGCCGCAAAAACTACGTAGGTGCCCGATCCGAAAGGAAGTGCATCCAAAGAAGCAAGAGATGCCGACAGGCGTTCGTTCAGGCCCTCCAAAGTGTAGGGCCACAAACAACCGGGGTAAATGTTTCAGGGTGCAGGTAGTAGCGGGTTTCCCCGTGAACTCAAAAAAGTGCCTCCGAGAGCGAAATTGTGCTCTCGTGGGAAAAAGGTGCTTCCGAGAAATGGCCCGCCTCCCCGGAGGTATTTTTTTGGGAGAGCACTTTTTTTTTACAGTCTAGTGTAGTTAATACTCCGTAGATTCTTGATTGCGTGGATGAAAGCCAGTCATGGATGGATTGGTTGGCAAGAAATTAGAGATCAGGCGTGTGTGTGTGTGTGTGTGAAAATCAGGCTCAGGCGTCGATCAAAATTGGCCACCCAAGAAATTAGAAGATGGGGTCATCCAACCGCAAGGTAACGAGATTTGTTGAAAGGCAGAATCTACAACAGCCTGCATTGTTAGCCGTACTGTCACAGCCCCCACCCCAATCGACGCATCATGATTCTCAAAACAGGGTTCACGTACCTTCGACCCTCTTTCCACCGAACAATCCTGAACGCTCCACTACTACCGGAGCACCCGTCAAATACGATCTCGTACAACGGCGAAGACCCAATAAGTCACACCTGTCACAACGTCGCATTGATCACTTTTTCCGCGCGGGGAAACTCACACTCCTGCGCGCGATTACCTATCGGGAGGTCAGCAGGACGAACAATAGAGACATGTCGTTGCGTGCTCTTATCTCGCGCTGCTTGCAAATACATGACGTTCGGTGCCCACGAAAGATGACCGAGCACTTGGGTGAGGGCACAGAGTAAGCTTTCGGGGAATGCATGCCCTATTTCTACTATTTGGGGAACACTCTGTTCGTTGTGGATGTTCTTTCCCTTAACACAACCGTCTACAGCAAAAAAAAAAACGTCACCGCGCCAAAAACATGAATTCTACCCACACTATTTTCTATCGCTCCAATGTCCGACACAAACCCCTCGCATGTACCGGTTGGCAACACTTCACAGCTAACTAAGTTGGTCCAAAACATCACCCACCGCCGCAACATCAAGCAACTCAGGGCGATGGCAGCAACAACCCGACAATTGTACTACAGAGCAGAGCAAGACCAAGTCCTGAGGCAGGCGGGCAAGCTTTAAACGTTGGACAGGCCTCCACCATACCGACCCAAATCACCTATGTTCAGCATCGTGACCGCATCATCTACTTCCAGGGCACCAAAGCTCGTCCGAGGGCCGACAAACGGGGGGGTGTTATCTTCTGTCAACCTCAGGGCGGGTCACTATTTTGTTTCAAGTGCCTCCGATCTGCAGGTTGCCGTCCTCGTCTTGCTTGAAGTTCTTCACCATCTCCGGCGTCATCCCATCGTACCTTCGATTCAAGACAATTCAAGACCATAGGGGAGATTCGCATTACTGATGTATTGTACAACAATCAACAAACGCTGGCAGGTTGGCACAATATACCTTCACTCAATTCAAGACAATCGAGAGGTTCGCATCACTCACGATAACAAACAAACGCTACTAAGAGCATGGATCATTCGATGTACCTTCCATTCAATCCAGAGCAATCAAGAGGTATTTACTTATCACAATCAGCAAAGGTTGATACGATGTACGTACTACTCAAGACAATCGAGAGGTTCGAGTTACCCAACATCAAAAAAGCTGGGCGGATCATACGAAATACGCTCACTTCAAGACAGCAAAGAGATTTGCATTGGTCACAACAACAACAACTAACCAATCCTGGCATGGTTCATACGATACGCGCACGTTCAGTTTTAGACGATCGAGAGATTCGCAATGTTTGCGACGATTAGCAAAAGCCATGGTGGATGATACCACGAAAGATGGCGTGGTACGAATATAATGTTGAAATACAACAGCACACGAATTCACACAGAATCACAATACCACATGATACAGTTGAAGCACTGTTATCCAACAGAATGGACGCGAGCGAGTGGGAACACGTGTGTGATAGGAGTGTGGCATAGAAGTGGGGGCGTGGGTTACTCGCTCCTGACAGATTTACACGGCAATGTACCGATGCGAGTCTTGCCCTCACTTTGCCCTAACAAGGACACGCCGTGCAACGTGTGGCACCATCACAAGGCGTCGCGGAACCGCATGCGGCAATCTAGCAAATATCACGAGTGGAAAAGCAATCACATCTGATGGGATGGGTGGGTAGTACAGTCTTCCCGGACTTTGATCATAAATACACAACAGAAAAGGGGACTGACACCCAAATCTCACACAGCAAAACAGGTTACTGGGAAGCACAGAAAATTAAGCCTCCTCCTGCCCCTTCATTCACACGTGTGTTGGATGGGATAGTGCTCAAAATGTAGAGACACATTGATCGTTCGTAGAGTGCGAGAGACATTTATTTACGCTTATGGTGTTTGAGCTTCGCTTGTACTTTTTGGCAACCTACAGCACGTGACATATTTCCCTGGCGCGGTTGTTACATACTTCATGAACTCGAGCATTCTCAGGTAACTGGGTTGCGAACAATCGGTCACTTGTCGTCAACTCCCACGACTTATGCTCACGCTTAGGTGTGTAGAGCCGGGGATGACATATTCATTCTCACCACTAACGCCGGTGTTTACACTGTAACACTCACGATTTAGTACCGGGGTCGAACTACGGCCAGGGGCGGGGATATTCTATTTTCTACATCCACGACAAATGCTTGAGTACTGAGCCAGGGCTGGGGATGGATGTTGGAAAAGACGAACAAGTCTGAGATGACACTTACTTGTCGTTTGCCCAGGGCATCTCTTCCCCACGCAGCTTGCCGTCTTCCTCCATGTTCTCGAGGTCGAACACGGACACCGTAGCGTCCTTCCACGCACGGTCCTGACACAACAACATGAGTGACGGGCAGAAAAAGACGAAGCCATCAACCACTTGAACGAGAGCAACACGACAACCACCACCATGACAACAACAGCAACAGCAACAAGCAGCAGCAGCAACAACAACAACAGCAACAGTATCCAAAAACAACCAACAATAACCAAAACAACGACATGAGGGATAGCAGCAACAAGAGCGACAAACAGCAACAGCAACAGCAACAGCAACAACAACAACCACATGAGCAATAGCAGCAGCAATAGCAGCAGCAATAAACAGGAGGGATCAAAGGAGACAACAATGAACAGCAACAATAATCGAGTGACAACGTACCTGCATGTCCTGCGGGCTCTGCGACTCGCCGTAGAGCTCGGTAGCCACCTGCTCGGCCTCTGAGATCATGTCGTCAAGCTGCTGCGCGAATCCCAGCTGTTACACGCGCAGAAGAAGAGGGAGAGAGATTAGAGAGAGAGAGAAAACGTGATATCTCTAAGAATCCCATCTTTGGTCCACAAGTTTCGGCGGCAAATAAGAGCGACGAGAGCGATACAGACAAAGAAACACAGCAACACTCCCCGTACAAAATGGAGCGTAGCAACACAGGGAGGACGGCGAGGACACTACTCACCTTGTCCAAAGAAGCACCTAACCCACCCACAAATCCTCCTGTAAAAAAAAACGTCTCAAATCAGTCACACTTGGCGTATCACACAATGGAGAAACGATAAAACACATGGCAAGTACTTAGCCGAATGCATACCTCGGATTCTCCTACGTTCCCGAAGTTCCGGATGATGCCCTTGACGGTCTCGATGAACTTGGGAGGGGCCACGTCGGGAGCCTCGGAGGTTTCGCTGCCGTCAGCTAGGACCACCTTGGCTCTCTGTCGGAACGCCTTCGTCAGGATCTACAGCAGCAGTGTCGTACAACGCCGCGTTGACGAGGACGCGTGTCGGGTGGAGGGAGGGGGGCGCGTGCTCATGCCTTGCATGCCTTAATTGATAGACCAACGGGGGGGGTGCCACCCGTCTTCCAGGAACTGGTCGGAGTGAGGGTGTGACCCTTCCTTAGTGATCGACCGGCTCCCCAAACACCTCGTCGGGTTTCCAAGGTGAGGGTTTGTACGTTGGTACTCCTGGTTCGGAAGGTACTGTATCGTGCGTTAGCCAACGTTCCTGATTGGGGTGCTTGCTCTTGCCTTGCATGCTTCGGAGCAATTTTTTCATGATGCTGAAAGTAATGGAGAATATAAAATTTGGGGGGGAATGATCGCAAGAAGTGTTCGCCCCACTCCCTCTAATGCTGTGGTGTGTGCACGTGCACACTGCTACAACAGACAACCGCAACACTGACAACGATACCGTGCCAAATTGCTTACCTTCAGTCTGGCGTCACGGTCTTTTGCCCGCAGCAGTTGTCGTACCAGCCGCTTCTCTGGGTCGACCTGAGTACAATAGCGGTGAAATAGCGGTGAAATAGCGGTGCAATAGCGGTGCAATGGTGGGCGGTGCAATAGCGGCATAATAGCGGTGCAATAGCAGCAGGCCCCAAACCATAGGACCTCCACGCTGAAAAAAAGTTGAAACGAACAGAAACTACGCCTGCGGCCTTCACTCTAATGCTTGCCATCAAACGCAAACAACACGATGTATCGATGAGCAGGATGCTAGAGGGTGTGAGCATTGGCCGGGAACCACCTGCGGTACACGCCGCCCCACCAAAGGCTACCACACCGCATGCCTTCCCCTCTCGGGACCCGTCTCCACAAACACGCAACTCCCAGTAAACAGTGTGTACAAGGCGCTCGCCAACACGATTGCACCATAATACCATACGACAAAACAACAACTGTGGCGGTAGCGGAAGCGTTGTGTCTACCAAGGGCACCTTCTCATCCAAGGCTGCTTGCGCAGCTGCCCCGAGCCTCTTAAGCACGCCCACCGCGGGCCCAGCGTCCGCCTCCTCCGCCTGCTGCAGGTTAGCCTGACAAAACGGAAGATAACAGGGGGGAGGGGGGGGGTACTCGTGGTCATGCATGCCTTATCGATTGACCGTTGACCTTGCATCCCTACAAAGCCGGGACGGACCACGCCGGGTTCTCACCGGACCAGGCTCTCACATCACCAAGCGCGAAGCGCCGTGAGGTATTCGGCGAGTCAAATGAAGGGTGCGCTGCATCCTGCTAAAGATGTTCGGCATCTTGTGTTTTCTTGCAACGGGTAACAGCTGCGTATGACTCAATCGAGCTTATCTGGTGGATCAGAGGACAAGACGTGTTTTGCGCCACCTGGAGTGTATTTTGACGGTGAGGTAAGGTAGAGGTAAGATGCAGCAAAGCAGCACACTAAGCTCCTCTTAAGAGGACACAACATTGTTGTTTAAAGCAGCTCTTATATCCACAGAACAGACGAATATCAACCCATGAACCCAAGCCGTAATGTGCAAACAAAACTACCCAAACGGCAAACTAGCGGTGACCACTGCCCTTGGGTGGGCTAGCTGTTGTGGCGCCAAATAAGGCTGTGCTTACCAAAAATTAAAAAACAGCGGTTTTGAGCGATTCTCCGAAACGCCACGAGAACCAACAGAAAAAAGGTTTTAAAAAAAATGATGGGAAGGCGGTCAACCGGAGTTTCTCCGATTTTCACGGCGACTACCTCTGTTTACCGTCGGGGTTGGTGTTCTTTTTGTGAGGAATGAGAAAAGACCTCGGTATTGAGCTCAGCTCCAGACTCTTAGGAAAGCAAGGAAAAAAACCGTTCAGAAAAAGTCGCACAGTAGGAAGAGATATTCAACTTTGACTCCAATCGAGCTTATCTGGTGGATCAGAGTAGTACTTGATTTATTTGCTGGTGCTTCCACTTCGAGGGACAGTTGTAAGCACTGTGTAACTGCCTCAAGGATGCATGACCATGTAAACACAACGTGGTGCGATCATCCCCTCTGCACGGAGTGAGCGGTCTCGACCCCGCACAACATAATCTACTCCACCAACATCATGGTTACCGCAACAAAAAAACAAAGGAAAATGACAGGGGGGAGGGGGGGGGGCGTACTCTAATGTTTTGCATGCCTTAGCGGTTAAACCATTGACCACGCGTCCTCGAGAGGACGGAGCATTGTTCCCACAGGACCGATCACCGATGGCCAATCGTTCCTTCCTACTTTGCCAAAGGTGGCTCGAAAATATCTTCCCTAGTCCATCTATCCTTACGATACCCCTTCCCGCCTTTCCAAACCACTTCCTATGCCCCAGTACAGCTATCGTCGTCTCCTCTCTACTCCATGCCTCAAGCATCTCCCTGTACCTCCCATCTATTTTTCCCAGCTCAATCGTGTACACTTCCCTATCCTTTTCGTACAACTGACATTCCGCGACTACATGAGCACTCTTCGCATTCGAAGCCGCAATCACATTTGAACTCGTCGTCTCAGTCGTCTACCGTCCTATGCCTTCGTCGACATTCTCCAAGGCCTATGTCCCCGGTCCTGAATTTGACCTTTGCCCCCCCCCCCCCCCCCCCCCCCCCATGTAGGTAGTCCTTGAACCCTATTCCTT